TAACCTTGTCAAACCCTGTGTAAAAACAAGTGGTGTTGTGTGTTGTGGAGAGAGAGAGAGAGAGAAGGAGAGAGAGAGGAAGAGAGAGAAGAGAGGAGAGGAGAGAGAGAGAGGGTGAGAAGGTGAGAGAGGAGAGTAGAGGAGTGGTGAGAGTGAGTGGAGTGAGTGAGGTGGTGAGAGTGAGTGAGAGTGAGAGTGAGAGGAGGTGAGGGAGAGAGAGGGGAAGGAGAGTGAGAGAGAGTGGAGTGAGTGGAGTAATGTGTGTACTCACCTAGTTAGGTTTGGGGGGGTCGAGTCGAGCTACTGGCCCCGTGTGTGTGTTTTGTGTGTGGTGTGTGGGGGTGTGTGTGTGTGTGTGTGTGGTGTGTGTGTGTGTGTGTGTGTGTGTGTGTGTGTGTGTGCACGTGTCTGTTTTAGCCCGTGGTACCCGGTGGAGTAGTAATATAATGGGGGGGTTGGTAGGGGGGAAAATTGATACCTGGGGTGAAATCTGACTCCAAATGACTGAAAAACACGCTGTAAATTTGCAAACAGTCACCCAGGAGTTTACGACTTTGCATATCTCACATCTGCTTGACAGTGGGGTTGCAAGATTCTGTGTGGGGCACAAGTATGCTCCACCTTTCCAGTATGCTCCACTTTTTTGGGTTTGCCTTTTTCCCCCCTATCTGGATGTTGACAGTAGAGAACAAGCAAGACGTTCATCTCTCCCCTGGACCCATCCGGGATAGACTTTTTCAGTAAGCCTTAAACCCAAGGGGGGAGTGGGTGGTTTTCGTTATGTACAAGGCCAAATAATGTAAAAGTACCCCCTTTGGATCCATTTCAGGACAATAAAAACAGCTTCTATACAACAAGACGGGACAAAAGCACCCCAATTTCACTCTGGCGAACCTTTTTAACAGTCATAGAAACTAGCACCTTCCCAAAACTACTCAAGACGAAAGGGTTCACCAAATACATAAAGGGGGGGACCATACAGATTTAAACAACTTGGCCAATATCAAATTTTCCATTGCTATCCAAATTTTTGAGAAATATGCACAAGACAAAATTCTTTAAACGGCAAAAACATATCAACCCCTGCCAATTTGGAGTCAGGAAAAAAAAAAGCCTAACGATAACATAAAAATGCTAATTGCTTTACACAGCATTGGAAAAAAAGGAAATTCCACTAGAATTTTTTTGATAAAAAATGCTTTGACACAATAGACCACGGCTCCTACCCACAAATTTGACCTTTGGTATAAGAGGCCCCAGCGTTGCTTTTTAAAATCTTCCCTTACTAATGGTTCTTTTGCCCAAAAAGACACAGCATCAAAACACACCCATTGTACTGGAGATCCCAGGGAAGTGCCCTTGGTCCCTGCTTTTCCCTCAATACATAAATGTCTTCCAAACGTATTCAACACCTGAGACACGATTTATGTCATCTCTCCCCCAAATCTTCCCACCCTCAACACCATTTTTTAAATGAGGAGCTGATAAAAATTCGACTTGGTGACAGCCAATAAACTTATCTTAAAAATGACAAAACTACACATTATTTTTGGTAGCAGAGGGAGATGCGCAATTAACATAAGATCGAAAAACACTCAAAATTGCAGGCATAATGAGGGCAAATTCCTGGCCTATATCGAAAACAACCTGAACTTCAGCACCCAATCAACACATAACCAAAAAAGTACCCAAACGGTTAAATTCTCCGAGATACATACTAGGCCACAAACTGCCCTTTCACAATACCATTCATTTATATACCTACCTCACCTATGCTATCTGTGTTGGGGGTTAACTCAAAACACACCTAAAGCCAATAAAAACCCCAACAAAAGCTGCATAAGATAATCACTAAATTCCACCCCTGGAAACACCCCCCATTTTCATAGATTAAAATTTACCCCTGTTCATAACCCAAATTTACTGTCAACCCTAATCTACAGGCCCTTAAAATTTCCCAATATTAACCTTGACCTAAAACGCTTTCTTGATAGTTGGACAGAACCCCCGGCAAACACCAGACACAAAACACCTCTATGACATTCCCCCTGTCTGATAAACTTGACAAAAAATTTAAAGTATGTAAAGGCCCTAAAATCTGGAACCCCTACCTAAATTCTAAGATGCAGACACATTCTTCCCTTCAAAACTACCATCAGAAAAATCTTATCCCCTATACACCCTTCAACTAAAAATACGAATCCCCCTGGTGTTACACTTTCACCCTCACCCATTTTACCATAAACAGAAAAATCAATTCAATTCAAAATAAGAATCTAACTAGTTAAGTTGGCCTTGATACTCCAAAACTGAAAAGTATGTGCCAAAAAAAAAAAACTTCACATTGCTAAACTCACAAACTAGTATTTTAGCACTTAGCCAAATACCAACTTACCTATAAATTTTTTAATATTTTAAACTAAGATTTAAATTTTAAATTGCCCGAAAAGAGCCCATGCCAGGGGTTTAGTGGTACATCTGTATTATTATTTTACTACTGTAAAACCCCAAAAATAACAAATTCTGTAAAAATCAGCTTGTTCCTTTTAGAGAATAAACTTTTAATTTGAATTTGAATTCTTTAGAACATCATTCATCTGAGTCTTTATCCCAGGATGCTGATATGGAAAAAATTCATACGCATTATGATGTCAACGAGATAAAATCAGTTCATCAAATGAAAAAGCGCCCCCAAAATGGCTCCAAAATTTATCCCGGGGCCCTACCTTTGTTTCATAACAAAGAAATGCTTTCAAATGAGTGATGTGGTAACAGTCTTAGCTTGTCAAAAAAGTTAAAATCCTTTAACTTAATAGTTGTCAATAAAGTAGGGGTCCTTTAAAATAAACCCTTTTCAAACCCCTTTTTGTTGTGTTGTGTGTGTGTGTGTGTTGGGGGTGTGTGTGTGTGTGTGTGTGTGGTGGTGTGGAGGTGTGGGTGGAGGTTTTGTGGTGTAGGTGTGAGTTGGGAGTGGGTAGTGTGTTTTGGGGGTTTGTGTGTGTGTGTGTGTGTGTGTGTGTTGTGTGTGTGTGTGTGGTGTGGTGTGTGTGTGTGAAGAGAGAGAGGAAAAGGGGAGAGAAGGAGGAGAGGAGGAAGAGAGAGAGAGAGAGGAGGAGAGAGAGGGGAGGGAGGGGAGAGAGGGAAAGAGGGAGAGAGGGAGAGAGTGAAAAAGTGAAAGGGGAGAAGGAAAAAGAGAGAGAGAGAGAAGAGAGAGAGAGAAGAGAGAGGGGGGAGAGGAAAGGGGGAAAAGAGAGAGAGAGAGAGAGAAGAGAGAGAGAGAGGGAGTGAGAGTGAGAGTGAGAGTGAGAGTGAGAGAGAGAGAGAGAGTGAAAGAGGAAAGAGTGAATGAGGTGAGAGAGTGAGAGAGTGGAGTGAGGAGTGAGAGAGTGAGAGTGAGAGAGTAGAGAGAAAAATGGCAAGAAAATTTCCCCGAGAAAAACCCAAAGATGAGTCTCTAGGCACCATGATGGTAAAGCTGGTGCAGTAGTAAGGAGAATGGGAGGATGTTGGCACCCGGAAAGAAGTTTAACCCTTTGGGGTGTTTGACCAAACACCCTGAAGAACCTGTTAATCTTTCAAAAAAGGCGCCGGAAGTTAAGCACTTGTGTATCCGCTCTTCTTGCAGTAGGGGTTTCAAAATCCCCTCGAGGGACAGTCGCTCACACCTTGAGTATGCTCCCCTTTTTGGTTTGCCTCCCCCCTTCATCTGCGATGCTTTACAAAGTAAGAACAGGCAAGATTCTCATCTTCCCTGGACCCCTCCCGGGTGATTGTCTTTCAGCAGAGCCCTTTAACATAGGAGGGGTGTGGGTGGCCTTCTGTTTTGTACAGGCCAATATTGTAAAAAACCCCACTGGATCCACTTCGAGGAAGCGTTTTAAAAAAGCTTTTATCCCCAAGACGGGCAGAAAGCACAATTCCTCTGGCTGTCCCCTTTTTAGAACATCATCCATTGAGTTCATAATACCCCGGTGCTCGGTATGGAAACACATTCGTACAGCATAATGATGTAAAGAGATAAAGTCGTTGATCCAAAAAAAATGCGGGCCCACGATGGCTCCAATTTCATCCTGTTCCCTACTTGTATGTTCATAACAAAAAATTTCTTTTAAAAAGAGCTGAGTAGGTAACGCTCTTTGGGCTTGCCTGTTTTGGAGTCCTTAAACCCGTAAATAGGTGTCAATAAAAGTAGGGTCCTTTAAATTTGTCAACCCGGGGGAAAAAAAAAAAAAAAAAAAAAAAAAAAAAAAAAAAAAAAAAGTGGAGTGAGAGGAGTGAGTGAAGTGAGGGGGAGTGGGGAGAGAGTGAGGAGTGAGAGAGAGGAGTGGGAGAGAGAAGTGTGAAAAGAGAGAGAGAGAGAGAAGAGAGAGAGGAAGAGAGAGAGGAGGGGAGAGGGAGAGAGAGAGGAGAGAGAGAGAGAGGAGAGAGAGAGAGTGAGTGAGTGAGTGAGTAAATGAGTGTGGAGTTGGAAGTGTGTAAAGTGTGTGTGAGTGTGTGAGTGTGTGAGTGTGAGTGTGTGTGTGTGTGTGTGTGTGTGTGTGTGTGTGTGTGTGTTTTGTGTGGTTGTGTGTGGTGGTGTGGGTGTGGTTGTGTGTGTGTGTGTGTTTTTTTTTGGTTTTAGTTGCTCCTGGCAACTAACATGCCAGGAGCAAGGGGAATGTGACTCCTTCTGTATACAGTACATTACTAAATTTAAAATGAAAGACTTCTGTTTTTCTTTATAGGCAACTTGCCTTGGTGGGATTAAACCCGGTGTGTTGTGATGAATGGTTTGAAAAACCGACAAGTTGAAGATTGAGACACTTATGCAACATATGGGAATCTTTATTCAGGAAACGTTTCGCCACACAGTGGCTTCATCAGTCCAAACCGAAGTAGAAAGGCGTAAGGAGAGGGGAGTTTGAGGTAATTAGTCCCTCAGCCTGGAGTCGATGTGTTCAGTCCATGGACTGAACACATCGACTCCAGGCTGAGGGACTGATTACCTCAAACTCCTCCTCTCCTTACGCCTTTCTACTTTGTATTGGACTGATGAAGCCCCCGTGTGGCGAAACGTTTCCTGAATAAAGATTCCCATATGTTGCATAAGTCTCAATCTTCAACCGGTGTGTTAATAAGAAAAACTGTACACTGTCATGGCTACTGTGAAAAACAACTGTATGATATGTACCCAAAACCTAAATAAAACACTTATAAAATTAACTTAAATAAGGCTCTTGAGGGAAGCATTTTTTACACAGTCGCTGTGTACAGTAAGGCCCCACTTCATGCATTTTGCCTTATGGAGTTTCACTAATATGGACATTTCAAATTATGAACAAAACCCATTATACGGCTCTCCCCACCTGACTCTCTAATACAGTCTCTGTGCACCACTCTGTTTCCATCCTCTGTGAGCTTCATGTTTCTCCATTATGTCTAGAAACTTTTCAGTACTTTAAGTGCTTTAAAGTTACAGTGTATTTTATATACAGCAAGGTCCCACTTTACAGTAGTATTCTGCTAATATGGCGATTTCAAATTATGACCAAAACTCTATACGGCAACCTATTTTTCTGATACGGCACACCCCATCCGGTTTGTTAATACTCTCCGTGAGTACATCTCTCTATTATGTCCAGAAACTTTTCAAAATTTCAAGTGTTTTAAAGTTATTGCATATTTTATATGTACAGTGGAACCTCGGGCTACGAATTTAATCTGTTCCATTGACTTGTTCGTATCCTGATTTGTTCGTATGCTGGGTCAATTTTCCTCATTTAAATTAACTGCAGTGCAATTAATTCGTTCCAGCTGAATTCCTGCTCTCGGGAGGCATGACAAAATAACCCTAATATCAACTCTACGGCTTATTTATCTGTCACAATTCATCTAATATGACATAATAAACAATATAAAAAACATAGAAATCTGATATACACTCTAGAATGAATAAAATATGTCATTACATGGACGGCGGAGGGAGGAGGAATGTGGTCGGGAGTGATCGCATATTCTTGCTATGAAAACGTCAGACGTGTTGCAAGAGAAAACGGTATTTGTGAGGCTAACTGAATTAGATCTGGTGTACATACGGCATTTACATACCTTGGAGAAGAAATGCAGAGCAGAATATTCTGTCAGGAGTTCACACTTTTCTTAACCCTTTGGGGGTCAGCAGGTCCTCTCAGAGACTTGTTCTTAGGGTCCCCAAATTTAAAAAAAAAAAAAATTATTGTTTCTTATGAAAAGACAGAGAATCCTTTCCTGATCATAATGACACCAAAAGTATGAAATTTGATGGAAAACTTACGGAAATATGCTCTCGTGAAGTTAGTGGTCTCGATGATGTAGTACGCATCAGCGATTTTGCCCACTTTGAGCCCTATTTTCGGCCAATTCCAGTGTACTAGTCTACAAAAATCATAACTATTTCGCTAGAACTCCATCTTTTCTATCGAATGAGTACAAGAAACCACCCATTCACTGATTTCAACTATCGAATACAGTGGTCAGAATTTAGCAATTTTGCCAATTTCACACAAATTTCAAAAGATGCCAATTTCCAAATAGAGTCCAGAATAAACAAGAAAGACATTCCTGGCACTAAAATAACATTTAATCTGTTCATTAGTCACGTCCCCAGATCCCTCTTACATTTCTTTTGCTTTCCACTTTGAATTTTTATTCTCACAAAAAAATAGAAGATTTACTGTTATGCAGACTACTGCATTAGTGTAGAAATGGTAAAAATAATATCAGTGCACTTGTGAAAGAATATTAGACTCACCAGTTGACGTGTATTGGACGCTTGGCATGATTTGTTTACTTTTGATCTTTGGTAAAAATCGAACATTTCTGCTACTTTGAGCTCAATTTCAAGGTACTTTTCATTGTAAAATCAGTCAAACTCATCTCAATTTCTGTAACATGTCTTCCATTCTATAAAATGAGACCAGGAAAACTAAAATACAACAATAAATACCATAGGAAATTACAGTGCAAAGTCGCTGTTTTAATCCAAAAACACGGTCAAAGTTTTTTTTTCTCATTACGTACTGTGTGCTGCAGGATTTTTTTATACTGTGCACACTGACCACACAGACCTATTCTTTCATATGTAGGCCTACCAGCTTTCTCTAACTAGATTTGACAGCGCTAGAATTTATGTGTACTAGTATGTCAAAAACCCCTGCGCGTAAGCTGTACTAGTACGGCCGAAACCCCAAAAGGGTGAAGAACTGCCCCTCAAGGAAGGCTGCTTGATGATGGTGAGGGGCTCTTGATTTAGGGAATTGGATCTGTGCTCCAGTTCCCCGAATTAAGCTTGAATACCTTCCCCCCCAGGCACTGTATAATCCTATGGGTTTAGTGCTTCCCCCTTGATTATAATAATAATAATAATAATCTTAAGAACTGTTATGTACAATTTTTATGCTTATCTCACTACACTACGTATCTCCTGTGAGCTGTTTCTCCGTCAACCATATCAACAGCAGCTTTTCCATCTTTTCACTGACAGAGATCCACTGCTTAGAAATTACTGTAACGCCCTTTGCTGGCACCATAGCCTTTATAGACTCCTGCTTTAGTATTTTACATATAATAGAGGGGCTACGCTTGTACTCAACTCGTTAAGTCCTCAACCCTCGTACCTAGTCTGTGCTTATTAATCATTTCTTGCTTTAATTCCATGCAAATCATCCTCTTTTTCTTCTCGGCACTGTCCATTGCACTTGCTTTCTTGGGACCCATGGTCAGAAGAAAGAAATCTGGCGAAATAACTGCACAAAACGTCAGGAAATCACAAGAATTCCTTGCACCGCGAGGGTAACACTGTAAGCACATGTGCACTGGTGACCATTGTTTTGATTGACACTGCTGTCTGGTGGTGGTGTTGTCAAACTAAATTATACACAGTACGTACATATATGTACTATTATTATTATTATAATTATTATTGTAATATTATGTATTATTATATTATATATTATTTTTATTATTATATACTATTCTTTCTTTCAACACACCGGCTGTATCCCACCAAGGCGGGGTGGCCCAAAAGGAAAAACGAAAGTTTCTCCTTTTACATTTAGTAATATATACAGGAGAAGAGGTTACTAGCCCCTTGCTCCCGGCATTTTAGTCGCCTCTTACAACACGCATGGCTTACGGAGGAAGAATTCTGTTCCACTTCCCCATGGAGATAAGAGGAAATAAACAAGAATAAGAACTAGAAAGAAAATAGAAGAAAACCCAGAGGGGTGTGTATATATGTGCTTGTACATGTATGTGTAGTGTGACCTAAGTGTAAGTAGAAGTAGCAAGACGTACCTGAAATCTTGCATGTTCATGAGACAGAAAAAAGACACCAGCAATCCTACCATCATGTAAAACAATTACAGGCTTTCGTTTTACACTCACTTGGCAGGACGGTAGTACCTCCCTGGGCGGTTGCTGTCTACCAACCTACTACCTATTTATATACTATTATACATACTTATTATAATGTATTATCATTATTATTAGTACATAAGTATTATAATAATAATAATAATAATAGTAATAATAATAATTATTATTATTATTATTATTATTATTAATTTAGGGACCTGTAGCACAGATCAAATTCCCTAGATCAAGAGCCCCTCACCACATATGTATGTGCTACTACTACTACTACTACTACTACTACTAATAATAATAATAATAATTATAAGAATAATAATACAATATAATAGTAATAATAATAATAACAGTAAGGAGAAACTTCAAAAGGCTGCCAGTAGTTGGCGCCACCATCAGCAAAACATTGGTAACTACTACTAGTACACTTTGCACCTGTCTAGACTTAAGTAGTCTTAAGTAGGCATTTCTGCCCGAAATGCCTTGGCATGATAGTGGCTTTCTTTGCTCCAATCATATTATGATATGTAAACACACATTGTAACCTTTGCAAAGAAATATATGTTTTATTTATTTATTTATTTAAGGAACCTCCCTTGAAGGGGAAGTTTACATCCTGAAATTTCTTTCGTATCCTGAAGCAAAAAATCGACCGAACGACAGTTCGTATCCTGAAAAATTCGCATGGTGGGGCGTTCATAGCCCGAGGTTCCACTGTACCCTGATAATTATACTTATGTGTACCCGTGCTGGCATGCAATAACACATTAAAATCACTAAGAGTGTCCCTCTAGTCTTAACGCTATAGTAATAATACTAATACATAATAATAATCACTCTTGGGCACATTAAATGTCTTATTTTACATTAATATTGACATTTTCATTAATCTACAATATTTTCTTCAAAATTATATAAGAAACACATTACATAGTAAATAAAAATGCTATGTTTATGCTTATGACGTGTGGTAGTTGGGCGGAGGGAAAACGTTATTTTCTCTGGTCCAGCATCAGAGAAAACTTGTATGAATCTGTCTTTGGCCGAGTCACTTCCCTTAACACACAATGCTTTTGTGAATTGTTCAGCATGAATTATTCATTATTTCTTCCTTCGTTTATGATGGCGTCAAAAGGAAGTTGTTTGAAACGGTTCAACTCAGCGAACATGGTATGTCAATGATAAGAATATGGGTCTGGGCTGCATTAAATATTGTATAGCTATGTAGCCCAGGCTACCTACCGGCTACCTACGTTTACCGGCTACCTACACCTGTCTTCCTACAAATAAATTCTACTCACCTCTCATCCTACATTAAGACTACACATATTTTAAGGTAAATAATGAGTGTACTGCATGTGTATTTTATCTCTCTGGGCTGATTTAAATATTGTACATTAATTAAGTTTGGGACGGGGAGGCAGGGCTACCTACACCTGACTTCCTACAAATTAATACTATTCACCTCTCATCCTACATTAAGACTACAAATATTTTAAGGTAAGTAATGAATGTACTGTGTATGCATTTTACTTTTATTATGTTTTTTAATGCCTAGTTCTATTACTAACTTAATACAAGTTAGTGTAAACTTGTTGTCTGGCACTTACATGCATTTATAAGTGGATAAAATGGCGTTCTGCTTTATGGCAATATCCACTTTCTGGCAGAATCCTGGAACCTAACCTGTCATATGAGTGGGGCCCTACTGTACTATATTTACTCATTTCTAGTACAGCACTATGCATTACTTGCTCATTCTTAGTATCACACATTATTTATTCAGTCTCAATATTAAGTTTTATCTGCTCACCATTGAAGAAAATATTACCCGTGCAAGCTTTCTTTATACGATGGCACTGCCTCTCACAAGAACACCAAAAGTTAAGCTGAGCTAAACACGTTTCATTCTTTAGGAAATTTAAGAAAGTACTATTGAGAGTTTCATCCTCAGATTTTGAATGATAAGTAGACATTATTGTGAGATGAAATGGCTCTACATCTTTTGCATAATTATATCTCATTTTTCCTAGTTTCAGATGTTCAACAACTGCCATTGCACCTTCGTAAGTGAGGTCAGTGTCATATAAACAGATGGACTGAGCCAGAGTCAGTGTCTGGAAAAACCAATTCATAATATCCCTTGTTTCTTCATTATCTAGAGAGAGTCTGTTGACAGCATCATCAGTTAGCCGTGTCAGAGGGCAATGTACCCTCAGATCTTCACACATATCCTTCCTAACAGTTACAAGTGGACTAGTGTAGCTGAAACTGAGAATATCATAATCATATACATCTTCAATGAGGTTAATAAAATCCTCAAGAGTGTCTCTATGGTCTTCTCCATCCTGCTGAAGACATGAGCATGGGAACGTTTTGCAACTTTCACATAAAGAAAAATTGCTTGTGATTATTAGCTCCCATCCGTCAGGTTTGTTCTTTCGTTTTCCATCACGTTCTTCTTTCTCAAGCCGTGGCCTCTTTCTATGCCATTCCTTTAACTGGGATGAAACTCTTCTATCTATTTTACATCGTTTTAATGAATGCTCTATATCCCCACTATTAAATAGAGTCTGCTGCATCTGCTTAACATGTTCATTTAGCAGTTTTCTGACTCCAGTTATAGAAAGTGATGAATCCTCAATGATCAGTCTCTGCATACCAGGATATTTATTAAAATAGTTGTCCAGCACAAAGTAATTTGTATTATTATAGAATTCCACGTTTCTTAGCATCAATCGCTGTAATCTTTCAGGTAAAGTAAGATTTAGTTTTACCTGGAGTGCCCACTCATTAAATGGCATCTTCTTTGTTCTTTCATTCTTTTCTTCTATCTCTGTTGTCTCCATGGGCTCTTGATTTCTGGCAATTTCTTTAGCAGTCTTTGCTCCAGGTATAAATCTTACAAACAAACATATTAAATCTTTGAAATGAGAGAGATCAATCTTGAAGGCTTTATGTATATATACATCATGTATACTCAGAGATGTAACATTATGAGGGGGATCAAATTTATCGAGAAGCTCTTGCAGCCTATCAAAATATTTGATTGTGAGATTTAGTGGGATAGGTTCCAGTACACAAAACCTGACACCATCTTTAATATCCTGTTCATTAGCCTTGAGAACAACTCGTACCCAAACTTTTCTAAGACATGACAAGCCTGTACATGATAGAATCTCTTGTAATGTAGCAATATCATACACACAAACATCCAAGACCTCCAGTTTCTGCATACACAAACATTTGAAAAATTGAGGAATTCCAGAACAGATGAAAGGCCCAACATATTTAGTGATGTTTAATTGAGTGTCTCTGCAATTGGCTATTGCACATGAAAGTTCCTTTAACCTTTCTTTATGAAATGCTGGAAGAAAATCCTTTTGAATAATCATTATCTGGATGAAAGCATGCTTGGCCAACTCAGCTAATGTACTGAGCATATTCCAGACCTTCTTTAAAGTTCTTGCACTGGAGCCGCTCTCTAGCTTAATTGTTAAGTGTTTTGTTATTTTGACATTCTTCAATATTTCAGCTATTTTATCTATATTACTTTCATCTAGGCATTTACACTTCAATACCCATGAATTCTTACTAGCTAACATTTCTGCTAGCAGTTCGACAATTTCCTGCCGATACTGACAAGTCTCAGTAAGCTTAACTATAAAAGACCACATTGTAAACGATGTTTTATTGCCACACTTCTTAGTGTTGTCACTAGATTCAGCAGTAGAAGTAGCACCTTCAGGCAAGTCAATGTCCATAGACTCTTCATTGTTGTTTGAGTTGGAATTCTGACAAGTGTGTTTACTTGCTTTTTTCTTATTCCGTTTCTTGTGTTCTTGGTTTGGCACTTCAATACCAAACAACTTCAGAAGATAAGACTTAATTAATGGTAAATTATTCTGAATACTCTGCTCATCCTTAGTCCACATAGCACAAGTAATTCTAAAAACTCTTTTAAACAATGGAACTTGTTTAAGCCATTTCTTGCATCGCTTCCTTGGGCTGAGAAATAACATATTTGGCAGAGAGGAAATCTTCTATAACTCTGTAGCGAAAACTAGCATACTCATCATGATATTCAAAGAATGGCTTTTTCACTTCATCTCTTATATCCTGGAGATCATCACTATTATAAAGCATTCTATTATTTAAGATCAAACAAAATGCAGCTTTCCCAAGTTTAATCAACTCTTCATGAAAATCTTCTAAATGACCAACCTTCCTTTCTATAAAATGTTCCAATATTGTCTCACATTGAGCATTTCCTCCAATCTCGTGAAATATACTAACCATGTCTGGAGTGTCGAGAAGTCCCTTGAATTTGCACTTCTTGTATTGTTCACATATATGCCTTGATTCATTCACATAACTGATGCTTTGTAATATCTGCTCTACTTTATTTTCATTCAGTGGCAAGACCTTAAGTAAGTGACAATATGAAGGTATTGTATGGGTACCTTGCAAAGTGATGACCCACGTTCCCCACTCCACATCAACCAATTTGTCCTCTACACACTGGAGGTTCCAGTCGAGCAGGAAAAGAATCTTATCAGCATGAATTTGTATAGTATCTTCTACCAAACTTCTCCCATACCTGCTTTCTGTTTTACAAGCATGATGTGTCAAGATCTCAAATACCTGACTCCACATTATATTTCTTGTAAACCTGCAACAAGTATCTAAGTAGAAAATTAATGAGAAATCTGAAGTATCTACATTCTGAGTAAACTGATCAGCTAGATTTATCAAAACAGATGTTTTACCAGCCCCAGGAGCTCCACAGATTATAAATGGTTGTGTTGTTTTGTAGTCATTTATAAACTTCCAGAGGTTGTCAACAAGTGATGTACACTGCAAATCACTCCTGGAAGAAAAACAATTTATAAGCAATAAATCATTATTACAATTTTTTTTTTTTTAATTTTTTTTTATTAACACATCGGCCGTCTCCCACCAAGGCAGGGTGACTCAAAAATGACAAAACACTTTCACCATCATTCACTCCATCACTGTCTTGCCAGAGGCATGGGAAGACAGTGCACGCACTGTACCTCCCACCTCCAGGATTCAAGTCCATCTTACCAGTTTCCCTGAATCCCTTCATAAATGTTACCTTGCTCACACTCCAACAGCATGTCAAATCAAATTCTCATGGAAAATTGGCAAAAGCAAAAACAGTCCATGAGGAAATTTTTATTAACATATTGATCATTTTCCACCAAGGCAGGGGAATTCAAAGAAGAAAATATATTCACCATCACTCATTCTTCAGCTTTTTTTCCAGAAGTACAAAGACTACACAACTGAACCCCTGAACTGTCAATATCCCTCAAACTGAATGTCATTTCTCTGCTGCAATCTCTCTAAGACAGTAAAGAATCTTTTTCTAAAGGTAATGATACCAAAATGTTACACTTAATGCAACAGTGATTTCATCTAATTTGATGTATATTTTAAGCCAATTTCCATGCCCAAACTGACCTAATTCCTGGTTAATTTTTGAGTATGCATTCCACTCAACACTGATAACAAAAAAACTGTCCATTCAAATACAAATACAGTGGACCCCCGGTATTCGATATTAATCCGTTCCTGAGAGCTCATCGAATACCGATAATATCGAAAACCGAATCAATTTTCCTCATAAGAAATAATGGAAATCAAATTAATCCGTGCAAGACACCCAAAAGTATGAAAAAAAAAAATTTTACTACATGAAATATTAAGTTTAATGCAATAGAATAATTACAATAACAATAAAATAATTGACGCTTACCTTTAATGAAGATCTGGTGATGATTGATGGAATGGGAGGAGGGGAGAGGTGTTAGTGTTTAGAAGAGGAATCCCCTTCCATTAGGACTTGAGGTAGCAAGTCCTTTTCCGGGGTTACTTCCCTTCTTCTTTTAATGCCACTAGGACCAGCTTGAGAGTCACTGGACCTCTGTCTCACAACAAATCTGTCCACAGAGCTCTGTACCTCCCGTTCCTTTACGATTTGTCTAAAATGGGCCACAACATTGTCATTATAATAGTCACCAGCACGGCTTGCAATAGCTGTGTTAGGGTGATTTTCATCCATAAAGGTTTGCACTTCAACCCACTGTGCACACATTTCCTTAATTTTTGAAGTAGGCACAATGGATTCCACAACTGGCATAGGCTTCTCAGGGTTAGCCCCAAACCCTTCAAAATCTTTCTTAATTTCCATACTAATTCTCACCCTTTTTACCACAGGGTTGGCACTAGAAGCTTTCTTGGGGCCCATGGTGACTTATTTTGCAGAAACAAGCACCAAACACAGTGATAATATGGATAATATGGAATGTACCGAATGTATCCTTAGATGCGCGCACACTGGCTGGCTTGTAAACACTGGCACACACGGGGCAGTTCAGGCCACATGTGGACAGGTCTTGTACAAATCGTATCGAATACCGGATTTTCAATCGAATACCGAGGAAAATTTTTTGCGATATAATGCATCGAATACCGGATTTATCGAATACCGATGCCATCGGATACCGGGGGTCCACTGTACAAAAGTTTATTTCTTTCCAAAGGCTACAATGTGTGATTACATTTCATAATTTAATTGGTACAAAGAAAGCCACTCAAAGACATATTATAAGAACAAAAGAAAAAAGGAACACTGTAGCAGGCCTACTGACCCATGTAAAGCAGGTCCATGTCAACTCCCGGCTTAGACCAATAACCCACCTAGTCAGGTCACTTTCACTTTAAGGAAGGAGCACAGCATCAGATCTAGTAGCACAAGCTAGTCAGGTCCAACTCACACCGACTCAAGTACAGTGGACCCCTGCATAACGATATTAATCCGTTCCTGAGAGCTCATTGTTATGCGAAATTATCGTTATGCGAATGAATTTTCCCCATAAGAAATAATGGAAATCAAATTAATCCGTGCAAGACACCCAAAAGTATGAAAAAAAAAAAATTTACCACATGAATTAATTTTAATACACAAACTGAAAAAGGCATGCACAGTTACATGACACTTACCTTTATTGAAGATCTGGTGATGATTGATGGGATGGGAGGAGGAGAGAGTCTTAGTGTTTAGAAGGGTAATCCCCTTCCATTAAGACTTGAGGTGTCAAGTCCTTTTCTGGGGTTACTTCCCTTCTTCTTTTAATGCCACTAGGACCAGCTTCAGAGTCACTGGACTTCTGTCGCACAACATATCTGTCCATAGTGGCCTGTACCTCTCGTTCCTTTATGACTTTCCTAAAGTGTTTCACAACAGTGTCAGTGTAATAGTCACCAGCACGGCTTGCAATAGCTGTGTTAGGGTGATTGTCATCAAAAAAGGTTTGCACTTTAAGCCACATTCCACACATTTCCTTAATCTTTGAAGTAGGCAACTTCTTCAATTTCTCTCTCCCCTCCTCTGAACCAGTTTCCTCAGGTCTGGCCTCTTGCTGTTGAAGTTGATCTAGCAGCTCATCAGTGGTTAGTTCTTCATTGTCCTCCTCCACCAACTCTTCCACATCATCCCCACTAACCTCCAACCCCAAGGGCATTCCCAATGCCACAATGGATTCCTCAACTGGCATAGGATTCCCAGGGTTAGCCTCAAACCCTTCAAAATCCCTTTGGTCTACACATTCTGGCCACAGTTTCTTCCAAGCAGAGTTCAAGGTCCTCTTAGTCACTCCCTCCCAAGCCTTACCTATAAGGTTTACACAATTGAGGATATTAAAGTGATCTCTCCAAAACTCTCTTAGAGTCAATTGAGTTTCTGAGGTCACTACAAAGCACCTTTCAAACAGAGCTTTTGTGTACAGTTTTTTGAAGTTTGCAATAACCTGCTGGTCCATGGGCTGCAGGAGAGGAGTGGTATTAGGAGGCAAAAACTTCACCTTAATGAAGCTCATGTCCCCATAAAGTCGCTCTGCCACGTCTGTAGGATGACCAGGGGCACTAACACCAGGAGGCACTTAAGGTCTAATTTCTTTTCAGTTAGGTAATCTTTCACATTGGGGGCAAATGCTTGGTGTAACCAGTCATAGAAAAAGTCCCTAGTGACCCATGCCTTACTGTTTGCCCTCCACAGCACACACAAATTAGCCTTGAGGATATTCTTTTGCCTGAACGCTCTGGGAGTTTCTGAGTGATACACTAATAAAGGCTTCACTTTGCAATCACCACTAGCATTGGAACACATCAACAGAGTAAGCCTGTTTTTCATAGGCTTATGTCCTGGGAGTGCCTTTTCCTCCTGAGTAATGTAGGTCCTGCTTGGCATTTTCTTCCAAAACAGGCCTGTTTCATCACAATTAAACACTTGTTCAGGTTTCAGTTCTTCATTGTCTATGTACTCCTTGAATTCCTGCACATATTTTTCAGCTGCTTTGTGGTCCGAACTGGCAGCCTCACCATGCCTTATCACACTATGTATGCCACTACGCTTCTTAAATCTCTCAAACCAACCTTTGCTGGCCTTAAATTCACTCACATCATCACTAGTTGCAGGCATTTTTTTAATTAAATCCTCATGCAACTTCCTAGCCTTTTCACTTATGATCACTTGAGAGATGCTATCTCCTGCTATCTGCTTTTCATTTATCCATACCAATAAGAGTCTCTCAACATCTTCCATCACTTGCGATCTCTGTTTCGAAAACACAGTTGAACCTTTGGCAAGAACAGCTTCCTTGATTGCCATTTTGTTGGACACAATAGTAGTGATGGTTGATTGGGGTTTACTATACAACCTGGCCAGCTCGGAGACACGCACTCCACTTTCATACTTAGCAATGATCTCTTTCATCTCTATAGTAGTTCTCACCCTTATTCCTGTAGGGTTGGCACTAGAAGCTTTCTTGGGGCCCATGGTCACTTATTTTGCAGATAAAATCACCAAAAACGCTGTAATAATATGAAATGTTCCGATTGTATGCTTGGATGTTACCGCGGAGGCTGGCTGGTAAACAATGCCACCGGCGGAACATGTGAGGCTGGCTCAGGCCGCACATTAGACGCATCTCAGACGAATAGCACTGAGCGGGTTTTTTAGCGGTATGCGAGGCAAAATCTTAGCGATAAAATGTATCGGTATGCAGATTTAACGTTATGTGATGCCAACGGTATGTGGGGGTCCACTGTATTTATCTAACCTGTTTTTAAAACTACATAATGTTTTCGCTTCTATGATGGTACTCGGGAGTTTGTTCCACTCATCCACAACTCTATTGCCAAACCAGTGCTTTCCTATATCCTTCCTGAATCTGAATTTTTCCATCTTGAAACCATTGCTGCGAGTCCTGTCTTGGCTGGATATTTTCAGCACGCTGTTTACATCCCATCCAAAGTGGACCCCTGGATTACGTAATTAATCCGTTCCAGAGAGAGTGACTTATCCCGAATATGACTTATTCCAAATTAATTTTCCCCATAAGAAATAATGGAAATCCAATTAATCCGTTCCAGACACCCAAAAGTATTAAACAAAATAATTTTTTTACATGAAATATACATTTCCCTACACAGAAAACAATGAGACATGCAGAGTAAAACATTACTAAAATGACACTTACCTTCATTGAAGACTTATTGATGAGTGATGAGATGGGAGGAGGGGAGAGGATGGAGGTGTACTATTGTTTGTAAAGGGAATCCCCTTCCATAAAGACTTCAGGTACCATGTCTTTTTCCGGGGTTACTTCCCCTTTTTTTTTTAATGACACTAGGACCAGCTTGAGAGTCACTGGACCCCTGTTGCACAAAATATCTGTCCAGAGAGCTCTGTTTCTGGCATCTCTAAGATTTCCCTAAAATGGGACATACCATTGTCATTGTACATGCTGCCAACACGGCCTGCAACAGCTGTGTCAGGGTGAT